ATTTGGGCGGCGTTATGCAAATCTTCCCACATAGTGACATAGATATGTGGGGGCGTGTTAGAACAAGCTGTTTTTAGGTAGGTGTGGCTGACTCTTAACTTTTATAAAGAATATCTTCTTTGGATTTGAGACTTTAGTCTTTGCAACTTTACAGATCTTCTTTATGCACCAAGAGCTTGTAACACTCCAAAGAGAAAGGTAAAATTGAAATCGCATCATATGACCCCTTTAAGAAAAGAAAAGCTTGTGATGATGTATTGGGTTAATTTACAGGGTAGTGATAAGAATCATCGTACACGCACAATTTTAAATGATTGTTGGGAATACAAAACGAATGGAGGGAATAGTTTTGGATGGAAGTATGAACAGTGGGTCAAGGATTGTGGTCTGGAGAATGAAGAAATCTGTCCCAACATGCCATTAAACGGGGTATCGGTATGGAATATTCCTGAACCTATTGTTGAAATGAGATTGTTGGAGGAGATGAGTCTAAAGACCCAATCAAACAAAAAGTGGGCATAGGCGTGTACATTCCAAGATTTAAGACGAAAACGCAAATTGTAAAAAAAAAAAGTGACAAATTGTCCGTATATTCTACAGAATTAACTGCTATAATACGATTGCAGTGGGTAGAACTGATTAAGCCAAATAGGCCTCCGACTGTAATTACTGTACAGACTGAAAATAGAGGGTATAATTGTATACTTTTGTTGGGTACAGGCACATATCGGGATAGTAGGAAATGAAACAGCGGATAAGTTAGCAAAAGAAGCATTTAAGAAAAACTTGGTGGATGTTAAGGTACCTCTGGGAAGAAATTAGATAAAATCAGTAATTAATAGGGAAATAATAAGAATATGGCAACGAAGGTGAGAAAATAGCAGCACACGTGGTATTATAATATTGTAAAATCGGTAGGGAAAAAAGAACAGTTTTATGGAAGACACAGAAAGGAAGTAATGATTTCTAGATTAAGGATGGGTCACACAGGACTAAATTCAACACTTGCATTAATGGGGAAGCATGAAAATGGTATGTGTGATGAATGTGATGTTTTTGAAACAGTAGAGCACATGCTTTTTAAATGTAGTAAATATGAAGATCAGCGTAACAGTCTTTTTAGCAATATAAGGAACAGGCCAGTGAGCCTCGTGGACCTTCTGGGAAAGGGTTTGAGTGATAGTCAGATGTTTAAGGTGGTTTTAACATTTTTTGAGCTGACAGGACTAGACCACAGGATTTAGTGTTTGAGGATGAGGATCATCTCGGAGGTTGAGGAGCCCAGTGTGGAAGCTGGAGGAGCTGAACACGCAGCGCCAGCTGAAGCTTGCTGTAAATTTTGACCGGCTGATGAAAAACATGCTTATGTGGATTCTACACATTTAAACAATAAAGTATCTAGTATTATTTATGGAGCAGAATGATAATTGATAATTGATTAATAAATGATTATATGTATTTTATACATATAATCATTTATTAATCAATTATCATTTTGACTTAACCCTTTTCTTTATTTAAAGGGGTCATATGATGCGATTTCAAGTTTTCCTTTCTCTTTGGAGTGTTACAAGCTCTTGGTGCATAAAGAAGATCTGTAAAGTTGCAAAGACTAAAGTCTCAAATCCAAAGAGATATTCTTTATAAAAGTTAAGAGTCAGCCACGCCTACCTAAAACGGCTCGTTCTAACACACCCCCACATGTCTACCTCGCTATGTGGGAAGATTTGCATAACGCCGCCCAAATGTTCACGCAAAGAAAGAAGGCGTAACTTTTATTCTCGCTGTAGTATTACCTCGCTTTTCAGAACGATGAGCTTTGTAAAAATCGACGCGTTTCAGAAAGGCGGGGCATAGAGGAGCAACAATAATGTACATTATATGGTAATGCAAAACACATTGCATTACACCAAATACACAAAATAATGTTCTTTTTAGTAACGTCATGTGACCCCTTTAAAAGCTGAAATGTGAGGTTTACCATTTGTGAAAATTTTTCAAAGCTTTATTTGAACATTTACATTAGATATTTGAACATGCTATTAGATAAACTGTTGTCAGTCATGTTGTCATTTAAAATCCGGACATCATTGGCAATGTTATTGTTTTAGTTATGCAAACAAAAACTCATTTTATTTGTTGATTTTAAATGTAAAACTTGGTGAAGTGATTTGTGTGTCAGTACTTTTTGAACATTTCCAGCACATTTGAACAATACCGTGATAATAATGATAACCGTGATCATGTTGGCCACTATAATCGTGATAAGAAATTTTCATACCGTTACATCCCTAGTGCAAATAATGAAACATCAGGATTTTCGTAATAAAAATAATATCTTCCAGAATAAAGGAGTGATTTATTTCTGTGATAAAAATAAAATAACTTAAATAAGCCCAAAATGTATTGGTTTATTACATAAAAAAATAAATGACAGCCGTTTCTTAGATTAGATTAGTAGATTTTTATGAAGGATTTAAAGCTAATTTATTCCTTGCTGTAACCTTTATTTTAATAAACATTTTGTGAATGTTTCTTCTTGTTTTTCCCTATCAATGCTGCCTAAAAGAAAAGCAGAATGCATAATGTTCCCCTCACTAAACATTGGGTAACTTTTAATTAGTTGAACAAAACAAACTGGGATTGCTTTTATCGATGTATTATATTCCTTTGACGGAAGTTACAAGAATCATCAAATAGCCTATATAGGCAGAATACAATTACAGTACAGTTAGTGTAAGAAGGAAGAAAAATTACTTCTTTCTAACAGACAAAAAACAGTTTTGAAGTTACAAGACACTGAAAATGAGCAAATTTACATTTGAAGATCAAAATAATATTTTATGTAGCTAGCCTACTTCCTTTGTAGCTTTGATGAACAAATAGGGAGAGAAGAGAACCCTTCCACATTAAAATATCTCTGAAGACAGAATTGATGGTCTTAATTTCAGGAAACATTCAAGTACTCTAATTAATAATTTAATCAAATAGGCTAATTCAAATATCTTCCTGGGTTTTTAGTTATATGAAACCACAACAGCTTTTATTTTATTTTATTAAGCTTCGATAAACAATCAAATTACAGTTAAGACTACAATAATACACATAAATACATAAAACACAAACAAAATATATATAAAATACTAAATGTGTGTACACAATACACATACAGCCAAGGGGTGGGCTAAGTCTTAATTGCTTTCTTATTATGTAAATAAATAAATCTTATAAATTAGAATTTATTTTTCAAGAACCAAAAATAAAGGATTGGTTTTACTGTAAAATTAAAATTAAATTTATAATGTAGCCTAGTACTCTTTCCTTTTATTTGAGGGGATATTAGTAAAACCAAATAAAACCCAGCACAAAGATAAAGTGTGGTCAATGTTATCAATTATAAATCTAGTCAAATCTTTCCCAGATTTTTAACATGAGATCAATGCCAAAATAAATGAAACAAAGTTTCAGTCCCCATATTCCAAAAAGAACAGTTCAAATCTATAAAATGTTTAAATTTAACAAGAAAATTATTTACTAGGTAGTATGTCAAATTTTAAAGGTTACTTCCTTCACTTTGTTTACCAATGAAGAGACAATGTGTAGGTGTAGAGACAATGTCTTTTTGAAGTAAAAACCGCGAAACCACAAGAGCATTAGACGCTATAGATCCGCGTGGCGTCTTGGCGTGGAACTTCTCGCAGCTCGTGCTTGATTCTGAACGGAACGCTTTTGATTCGGTTTACGGAAGTTGCTCGTCATTATTTACTGCACCGGATCAGAATCGCTTTCGCTGCTCGGTGTCAGACAGCAGAATGCGGTTGACATGTCGGCTGCTGTTCGCTGGCTGTATGTTGTGGAGTTTGTCGATCACGGCGGCGATAGAGCCGATCAGCACCAGCATCGCGGTCGGGATGGCCGCGGCGCTCACCGGATTCCTGGCCCGTTATCAGAACGTGCTCTATTACTTCCAGGAGTGCTGCAGACCCGAGTGGATCTCATACAACAAATCAGGTTTGCAAGAGCTGCTTTGTCTTTATTTGTTGTGTTAGAACGCAAGAATGGATATGTTTATGGTTTATGGGTCGTGTCCTATAAATCCACATTTTCCTTATATTACAGTGAATTAAATCCACATTTATCTTTATTACAATTAATTAATTCTATGCCGATGCCAGCATTTAAATGCCATAGGCTACAATCAGGCAGTCAGAATTTATTAAAATATTAATCATCCTCTTGCATTGATGGTGTTTATAATTTTCATCATATATATCATACATCATCTGATATATGCATTTGAGCTCATATCTGGTGTGAATGCATTTATGCTATGTATTACAGCGCTAATTCTTGTACTGATACTGCTTATTGAGTTGTACTTGTTCGCAGTTAATTTTAATGTAATTAATATCATAATCAATAACTTAAATTACAGGCTATATGATAATATAGAAATCAGACAAAAATCATAACTCATCTAATAATATGTCAACATGTTTTATAACGCAAGCATCATTTTTTTTTAAAGTTTTTTTTCCAACAGTTTTAAATCTGCAAGTAGTTTGATTTAAAGCGACATTTTTTATATATA